AATCTTGGCCTTGAGACTTAAAGGGCACGCGACATCCTCTGAAGCCCACTGCGCATGCGCCGTAGCGGCAGCAGCTCAACAGCGGCGGGACGAGCAACTACAGGGTCAGAGCCCAAGAGCGTTCTTACTCCCAGAGAACCTGCACCAGTGGATGCAGAAGAGGAGCTGAGGGGACAGCCCAGCGCCTTCCTTCAGCTGTGGGTGATGGGCCGTTGAGTCAGTCAGCCATGAGTGCGGCTTTGGCTGTTCCTGGAGCTCTGTGGCGTTTTCCTTTGAAGGCCCCACCCCTGCACTTACCAAATCTACGTATTCCCTGGGGAGCAGGCTTCTCCTTTGAAATGTAGATGTAAGGCTGGTGGTGGGCACCCCTCCTCTCCCTAAAGAAAAAAAAGAGAAGCCCACAGGACCCGCCAAAATAACTGCTAGGCCCAGCTAAGTTAGAGAATAACCACACCTAAATGTTCACTCAGATAAGAGAAGTTACAGCTCCTGAAATCCACACATACCACCAGCCCCTCCTATTTCTCAACACCCGCCCTAAAACTGCAACAAAGAATTCCCCACTTTTCACGCCAAAACTCTTCGCGCCAAAGAAACTCCCCTCCCCCAACTCTAAAAACATATATAAGCCCACTCAAAACTTTTGGGCAGTGCGACTTCTCTGGCCCCTCTCTCGGGACCCGGGAACCGCGCCCGGGAGTGCTCAAATAAAGCCTTGTTGCTTGCCCTTTTCACTCCGCTCGTCTTTCTTTCTCTGGCACCGACTACCCAAAAACCTTACGTTTGGTGCCGAAACCAGGGACGGGTGTTTCGGCTGTGCTGGCCCATTCCAGGGCCTTGGCTGCACCACCCATTCCGCAGACTCTCACATTCCGGACCAGGACCTCCACTGACTGCCTTCGAGTCCCTGATTGACGACCTCAGCCTGGGTGAGTCACCCTGTGTTGTCCCAACCCAGATCCCCCACCAGGAGCCTCTGTTCCCCAGATACTGTTCCTGTCCGTTAAACTGTGGGCCCATGTTGGAGGCTCTCCCGTTCCAGGGGTTGAGGCTATTCGGGGACGCCTGAATTCCTCTAACCCTTTTCCATGCCAGCACATTAGTCTCGGCGGAGACGTCCCCCAGACTTTTGTTGCCTCCATAGTCAGGATACTGTTCCTGTCTGTTTCTCCATTCAGGTTGGGGTGACATGGGTAGCCAATCTTCTAAAATTCCCCATGAGACGCCCCTAGGGTGTCTACTGGCCAATTTAAAGACCCTGGGTTTAGACATCCAGCCAAGCGCCTCATTTTTTACTGCAATACTGCCTGGCCGACGTATAAATTGGACAATGACTCTCAATGGCCTGAAAACGGGACTTTCAATTTCAATGTCTTACAAGACCTTGACAATTTTTGTCACAGGAACAGCAAATGGTCAGAGATCCCATATGTCCAAGCCTTTCTCTGTTTGCGCTCCCGTCCTTCCCTCTGTCTGACCTGCCACCCTGCACAAGTCCTCCTTGCGTGGGGTCCCCCGCCATCCTCCACCTCTTCTCCCTCTAATTCTTCAGATGCCTCTTCTGCTTTCTCTGACCCACCTGACTCCCTCAGCTCTCCCCTGCTCGTCCTCCACCATACTCGGGTCACCCAGCCCCAGATACACCACCTCACCCTTCTGCACCACCCAGCCACTCGCCACCGACGTCTCCTGTCAGCCGTCACACACGGTCTCACATGAACCCTTTGGACCAGTCCCTCCTCTGTCCGTTACGGGAGGTGGCGGGCGCCGAGGGGGTCATACATGTACATGTTCCCTTCTCCCTTTCCGATCTTTCCCAGATAGAGAAGCGCCTAGGCTCATTTTCTAATGACCCTACTGCATACACCAAAGAGTTCTGCTACTTGACACAGTCATATGATCTGACCTGGCATGACATTTTTGTTATATTATCCTCTACCCTTACTACTGATGAAAAAGAGCATGTCTAGACAGCGGCTCAGGGGCACACTGACCAAGTCCATCTTACAGACTGTACTATACCAGTGGGGGCCAAGGCTGTCCCTGGCAACGAGCCAGAGCAGGAATACCAACCCGACACCCCGGCCAGCCAGGAGGGCAGGAAACGGTGGGACCGCATGTTACCGTGTGTCCTTGCTGGCCTCCAGGCTGAGGCTCATCGTGCTGTAAATTATGACAAACTCAGGAAAATCACTCAAAGGGCAGACAAAAACCCCACGGCCTTCCTTAGCCACCTTACAGGCGCTCTTATCCAATATACTCACTTAGACCCTACCTCCCCCGCAGGGGCTACTCTCCTTGCAACCCACTTTATTACCCAGTCATCTCCTGATGTCAGAAAGAAACTCAAAAAGGCAGAGGGGGGCCCTCAGACCCCTATCCGAGACATGGTGAACATGGCATTTAAAATCTTTAATTCCTGAGATGAATAGGCAGAGGCCCAAAAGGAGGCCCATGTCTGCCAAAAGGCACACCTGCAAGCCCAAGCCTTGGTTGCAGCCCTGTGGCCAGCGGGACCCAAGAAGCCATCGACCTATCTAAGGCGACAAGCCGCACTCCACCAGACACCTGCTTCAAGTGAGATAAGGAAGGCCACTAGGCAAAGCAGTGCCCACAGCCATGTCCACCCACCAAGCCTTGCCCAGCATGTGGTCAAGAGGGACACTGGAAAAGTGACTGCCCCTCGGGACAGAAGTCCGGAGAGCTAGTCCTTCCATCCCTAGACCTGCTGATGGCAGTTTTGGGTCTGGATGCCAAAGACTGAAGAGGCCCCAAATCGGTGACCCCGATCACCCTCGCCAAGCCCAGAGTAACAATCAAGGTAGCAGGTAAGGCAGTGTCCTTTCTGGTTGACACGGAGGCTACCAACTCTGTCCTGCCTTCTTTTTTAGGTCCTACTACTTATCCTTCCCAGGTGTCAGTCATGGGTATTGACGGCAATCCCTCTCAGCCCCCCACCACTGGTCCCCTAACCTGTCTAATAGATGACCGCCCCATCACCCATTCCTTCCTTATCATGCCCTCCTGTCCCACTCCACTATTGGGAAGCGACTTATTAACCAAACTGGGCACCACCCTCCACTTTTCTTCTGAAACCTCTGCCCTTCTTATTCTGTCTCTCTCTCCAGATTCCTCAGCTCCACCCACAGCCTCTCCCGCCTTACCAAGCCCTACATACCCTCTCCCGCCTAAACTCGTAGACGCTCAGGTTTGGGACACCTCCACCCCAGTGGTGGCCACACACCACACCCCCGTCCTCATTCAACTCAAAGACCCCTCATCCTTCCCTTCCCACCCACAGTTCCCTATTTCACCAACCCACTGCAGAGGTCTAAAACCCATTATAGAACATCTCCTGCACAAAAAACTTAATTCCGACCAACTCCCTCTATAACACACCCATACTCCCGGTAAAAAAGCCAAATGGCTCCTACCAGCTAGTCCAGGACCTCAGACTCACTAACGAGGCAGTTGTCCCCATACACCCTGTAGTGTCTAATCCCTACACTTTACTTTCTCATATTTCGCCCTCTACTACCCACTTTTCTGTCTTGGACTTCAAAGATGCCTTCTTTACTATCCCCTTAGACCCAGCCAGCTACAGTCTCTTTGCCTTTACGTGGGAAGATCCTGACACAAATGCATCCAAGCAACTCACTTGGACTGTCCTGCCCCAGGGGTTTCAGGACAGCCCCCATCTATTTGGTCAGGCTCTGGCCCAGGACCTACTTCAATGTTCCTTACAACCTAGCACCATCCTTCAATGCATCGATGACCTACTGCTCTGTAGTCCCTCTCTACAACACTCCAAGACTCACACTGCCTCTCTACTCAACTTTCTTGCCTCTAAGGGATATCGGGTGTCCCCCTCCAAAGTTCAGCTGTCTACGCCCACTGTCACGTACCTTGGACTTCGTCTCACCCCCACTTCCCGTCATCTCACTGTGGATCACCAGCAGGCTCTTCGCGACCTCCAGCCACCCACCACTGCTGAACAAATTCTGTCCTTCCTCGGGTTCGTTGGTTTCTTCCGACACTGGATCCCCAACTTTTCTCTCCTTGCTAAACCCCTCTATGAGGCAGCACATGATCCCTCCACTGGCCGTCTATTAAACCCTCAGGCTGTCTGCCACGCATTTCTGAAGCTTCCTGACACTCTCCTACAAGCACCCCCTCTAACACTCCCTCATCCTGAAAAACCCTTTTACCTTTACACGAATGAGCGCCAAGGTTTGGCCTTCGGTGTCCTCACCCAACCTTTGGCCTCCTGGAACCCACCCACCTTTACTCCAGTAGCTTATTTATCCAAACAACTGGACACCACAGTCCATGGCTGGCTGCCCTGTCTCCGGGCACTGGCCGTGGCAGCTACTCTCACTACGGAGGCACTAAAACTTTCCCTGGGACAGGATCTAGATGTCTTTTCTACCCATCACCTCCAAGACCTCTTAACTCACCGTTCGTTGGCGCTCCTCACTCCTTCTAGATTACAGGAATTTCATCTCCTATTTATGGAAAATCCCACCATTACCTTGACACAGTCTCCAACCTTAAACCCTGCTACTTTACTTCCCATCCCATCCTTAACCCTGTCCTCTCACTCTTGCTCTGAGTTGGTTGAAGCCACCACCACCTCCAGGCCTGGCCTAGTGGACCGACCCCTCCCCAGGCAGACTTAGCATTGTTTGTTGATGGCAGCTAGTCAGTGGGAGATGACAACAGGTGTTGGGCAGCCTATGTCATTGTCTCAGCCTCTCAGGTTATAGAGGCATCCTGCCTCCCCGAGGGCACCACTTCCCAAAAGGCAGAACTAATTACTCTTACCTGAGCCTTACATCTAGCCAAAGGTAAAACTGTCAATACCTACACTGACTCTAAATATGCTTTTATGATAGCTCACTGCCATGCTGCCATATGGAGAGAACGAGGCTTTCTGTCCACCAAGGGCTCCCCTGTTGTCAATGCCACTCTCTGAATTCGGGTGGCTTCTCCCGGGGCACCGGCCAAGACGAGCCATCTTTTTGCCGGTCATGGTGGGTCTCAGCTTGGCCTCCTCCATCGCAGCCTCAGGGCTCACGGGAGGCGCCCTGGGCCACAGTGTCATTTCTGCCCAGGGTTTTGCAGATCGCCTACAAATTACTCTAGAGACCACGTCTGCTTTGCTGGCCTCACTGCAAAGACAACTAACTTCACTGGCTCAGGTTACCCTCCAAAATCGGAGAGCGTTAGATCTACTGATGGCTGAAAAAGGAGGGACCTGCATTTTCCTTCAAAAAGAGTGCTGCTACTATGTCGATGAATTGGGCCTTATAGAACAGAACATAGACAAACTCACCAACCTGAGTGAAGACCTACACAACCGCCGCTGCCAGAGTGTATCCCCCTTCGGCTAGATACAGTCCCCTTTAGCCACCTGGCTATTGCCACTAATAGGACCCATTGTCATCATGTGCCTAATCTTTCTCTTTGCCCCCTGTCTTTTACAGTTCCTCCAGTGCCACCTACAGGAGCTATCTCGAGTGGCAGTAAACCAACTACTTCTTCATCCATACTCCCCCCTACTAGTCACCCCTCCACCAGCCGACTCCGGCCCATAGCCCCTGACTACGCACCCCCCGGCAGGAAGTAGTCAGAAAGAGCGGCGCCCATCATAACCAAAAGGCCGGGATGTAAGGCTGGTGGCGGGCATCCCTCCCCTCCCTAAAGAAAAAAAAGAGAAGCCCACAAGATCCGCCAAAATAACTGCTAGGCCCAGCTAAGTTAAATAATAACCATACCTAAATGTTCACCCAGATAAGAGAAATTTCAGCTCCTGAAATCCACACATACCGCCAGTCCCTCCTATTTCTCAACACCCGCTCTAAAACTGCAACAAAGAATTCCCCACTTTTCACACCAAAACTCTTCACGCCAAAGAAACCCCCATCCCCCAACTCTAAAAACATATATAAGCCCACTCAAAACTTCTGGGCGGTGCGACTTCTCTGGCCCCTCTCTTGGGACCCGTGAACCCTGCCCAGGAGCGCTCAAAGAAAGCCTCGTTGCTTGCCCTTTTCACTCTGCTCATCTTCCTTTCTCTGGCACTGACCATCCAAAAATCTTACAGTAAACACCACTTGCCTCATCTTAAAGCCAGCACTGTCACTCCAAGTGACATCCCAACTGGATAATCTCCCAACTCGCACTGAAATTGGCCTCAGAGTTGCAGCTGAGCACTTGGCGCCAAGGCAGGAAGAGGTTCCGGTTTGCACCTGGCTGATCTGGAAGGCGGCCCTGAAAGGCGGTGTTTGAGGAGGTGGGCTCTAGGGGCGTGGAAGTGCCTGAGGAGTGGGAACTAGACAGAGGGGACGGTTCCAAAAGTGAGTTTCAGAAAGCTCCGTGGCCCAGCAGAGCATCACTTTTGCCTGTGGTTTCCTATTCCACTGCCCTGTCTGCAAGGCCATCCCAGACAACCCCTTCATTTGTAACCATTTCCCAAACACCTGCTCTGTGCTGGGCACTGTCTTTAGAAGGGGCTGAGGTAGGAGGAACCAAACCCTCCTTGCCCTCAAGGTTGGCCAGTCCTGCTCAGGCAGAGATCAGTAAGGAAATTATAACGCAAATGGTTAGTGGGACATGCACACTTGGTTTTTGGATGTATGAGCATATGTAGACCATCAGCTCTGACCAAGGAGTCACAAAAACCTCATGAAGAAAAACATTCAAGCTGTGTTTTGAGGTATAACTAGGAGCCCAACAGACACCGAGGACAAGAGAGCACTGTTCAAGTCCAGGACATGGATTTCTTCCCATGGGCCAGGCCAGGACTCAGACTAAGCTGACTGGGGAGGCAGGTGATTCCCGCCAAGAAAATGTGTCCCATATCTGACTATTCAGAAATCACAGCTACTCAATAATGAGACTTGAGTCAGAAGGGAGTAAGCCTGAATTGAAAAGCACAATTCTGCTGGAGGCCTTGTTACAATGCAGAGCTGCTGATTCAGTGGGTCTGGGGTAGGGCCTGAAAATCGCATTTCTAACAAGTGCCCAGGTGATGCCAATGCTGCTTATCTGGGGACCACACTTAGAGAGCCTCCACCCTAAGCCAACCTGGTTTCATTTCTATTATCAGAAGAGGCCAGTGGAGAGCTGTGAGGCAGAGGTACAGGATAAACTGGACCACACCTGCCCCTCCTAGAGAGCTGCCCACCCCAAGGCTCCAGCATTTGATTTCCCTGGGACACCCAGGAAGGGACCGAATGTGGGGTCAGAGGGTGGCCCAGAGACAGAGCTGTACACACAGCACTGGAGGCTCCTGCAACATCACAGACAAGGACCCTCAGGTCCTTCCCACCTCTCAACATCGACCTCCAGGCCTTGCTCAGTACACTATCCTTGGCTGTTTGGGCCTGTGATGTGACCAGAGGAGCTCTGAGCATACTTTCTGGTCCAAAGATAGGGTGACCTAGAATGACAAGTATTAGCAAACTTATAGGGATAACAGCATGGGCTAATAAGGAGAACTTTGAAAATTTGACAAATGTCTTCAAACATGTGTCCTGCAAGAAAATTACCAAAGTGTTTTCTTTTCTAAATATCACATCCTTGATCCCATAGGGCCAGTAGAGGGCGTCCTGAGCACACTGAAGCCACAACTGTGGTGTTGGACTTCCTAGGATCCCTAGCGGATTGGTTTCCCACTTACACCAAGATTTGGTCAAAATTTCCTTCACCAAACAAATTGCATTTGTTAATTAATCATGCCCTTAGTTTGCCTTTTAATGAATGAAACAGAGATATGTAAAGAAAGATGGCTGGGCACAGTGGTTCATACCTGTAATCCTAGTACTCTGGGAGGCTAAGGCGGGAGGATCACTTAAGGTCAGGAATGGGAGACCACCCTGAGCAAGAGTGACACATCATCTCTACTAAAAATAGAAAAACTAGCCGGGCATGGTGGCGCATGCCTGTAGTCCCAGCTACTCAGGAGGCTGAGGCAGGAGGTTTGCTTGAGCCCAGGAGCTTGAGATTGCTGTGAGCTAGGCTGACGCCACGGCACTCTAGCCCTGACAACAGAGCAACACTCTGTCTCTGCCCCCTCCCCAAAAAGAAGAATGCAATTAAAAAGAAAACAACATATTGAATTAAAATATAAACATCCTTGTTTAAAGAATAATGTAATTTTTAGATAATTTTTGTTTATCTTTAATGAAGGTAAAATAATTATTTCTATCAGGATTTTTTTTTTTTGCAAGTTTTTCATTTTGAATATTTTGGTCTTGTTTGCTTGGTCTCCCTTGGATTTATCTTTTATTTTATATTTCGACTTAATTTTAAATTCAAAAGATTCAAAGGTAAAAAGTCTCCCTCTTACCCCATCCCATCCCCAACAGGTAGGCACCAATATCAATTTCTTGCTTATTCTTCCAACGATATCTTATGCATATGCAAGCAAATATAAATGCATATATATATATTCTTTCCCCCTTTTCACATAAATTCTAGCAAACTATGTATGCTTTTCTGCATCTTGCTTTTTTCCCTCTTAATAATATAAATATATCATGGGGGCAGGGGAGAGAAAAGGAGAGGTAAAAACCTACCTAAGATATGAAGAACACTATTCTGGTGATGGATACACTGATAGCCCAGACTTAAGCATTGTAAAAGCTATTAATGTAACAAAAACGTTTGTACCCCTAATATTTTGAAATTATATATCTCCATCCCATAAGGGAATATGGAGGTTTTCCTACATCTTTCTTTTTTCTTTTCTTTTAAATTTCCATAGTACTCCATTGTATAGATATGTAATGGTTTTTTTTTTTTTTTAAGAGACAGGTTCTCACTATGTTACCCAGGCTGGAGTGCAGTGGCTATTCACAGGTGCCTGCCACCATGCCCAGTTTGTGATGCTTTTTATCCCCCTACTGATAGACATTTGAATTATTTCTTTTCTTTTCTTTTTCTTTTGTATTGTTTTGCTTTTATAAACAGGGCTGCAACATATAATTTTGAATACAGTCATTTTTGCAGGGATGCAAATATATTTTTGGACACATTCCTAGAAGTGGGACTGCTATATGCATTTTTAATTTGGACAGAAATTATCATATTGCCTTTCCTAAAAACATCACCAGTTTGCAGTCCCATCTGCAATATATGAGAATACCTCTTTCGGTACAATTTTTTTTAATTATAGAAATATGTAAGGCTGGGTGCAGTGGCTCACACCTATGATCCTAGCACTCTGGGAGACCAAGGCAGGTGGATCGTTTGAGCTCAGGAATTCGAGACCAGCCTGACCAAGAGCGAGACCCCATCTCTACTAAAAAAAAAAAAAAAAAAATTAGCTGGACAACTAAAAATATATATAGAAAAAATTAGCCGGGCATGGTGGCACATGCCTGTAGTCCCAGCTACTCAGGAGGCTGAGGCAAGAGGATCACTTGAGCCCAGGAGTTTGAGGTTGCTGTGAGCTAGGCTGACGCCATGGCACTCTAGCCTGGGCAACAGAGCGAGACTCTGTCTCAACAGTTCCTGAGTCTCTCAGGGAAATTAAGTACTTGGGCCTGGTTTCTGATACAAAAAGAGTAATGTGAATTCCTAGTGGTTATCCTTCACAATTTGGGCCATTATTTTGGATAATGTGTGAAAAACCAATAAGTTTTACCTTCCAAAAGGAATTTAAAGAAAATAAAAAGAAAAGGTGTTTGTTAGAACATTTGTAATACATTTATCTGACAAAGGATTTATACCAAGAATACGTAAACAACTCATAGTTCCATAACAAAAAGACTATTAACAACAACAACAATAAATAAAAGACTTAAACAGGCAATTTACAAAAGAAGTTATATGAATGGCCAATGTGTATATGAAGAAACTCCCAGTATCAATAGACATCAGGGAAACAGGCAAAGTAAAACCACAGTGAGAAATCACTAAGCACGCATTAGAATGGCTAAAGTAAAATGATTAAAAAGTATACATGTTGGCAAGGATGTGAAACCTATGTTCTCATGTATTGCCTGTAGGAATATTAAACGATCCCTTTGAAAATCAGTTTTATATCTTCTA